CTCAGATCTCAGCCTCCTGAGTAGCTAGGATTACAGGCATGAGCCACCGGCTGCCCGGCTACAATAATTCTTTTTTTTTTTTATTGTGAACATACTGTACAGAGGGGTTACAATTACATGGGCAGGATAATGAGTACATTTCTTATCAAGCATTGTAGCCTCCTCCTTTGTTTCCCCTTCCCATCCTTTCCCATCCTCCTCCCTCCCCCCTCAACCCTCCCCCCCACGAAAGTTGTAAAGTTCGTTTTGGACATAACAACTTGTACATCTCATTGTTGCAATGGGTCCACAATTTCGATAATTCTTAAGAAACATGTGCTTTTAGGAATCTTTCTGTTAATGACTATGCTTCCTTTCCTAACATTGAACAAAAAAAAAGTAAGTCAATGCTTAAAATAAACATTACCACGTCCCTCTGTCCATGTCCATCAGAGCTGGTTGTATTTGGTAAACTAATTGAAGTATGACAGGATATACCACAGTGCTAGGGGCAATAACATAGTAAATGTAATTGGTTAAAACAGGGGCACTCTTCAAGTCACTCTTTCTGGCACTGGGAGTTATTCAAGTAGGTGAGAGCATACTTGTGGGCCTAATTAGCAAATTGATTCCAGAACAGAAGCTTTCTTCATGCAAGCATTTCTGGACAGGGTGTTAGCCTAGGCCTAAGACTATCCGGGGACCTTTCCCATGCTTTGGAAGCACGAGGCACCTGACTACTTGCTATGTGGTCCTGTGTAGAACACTTCAGCTCACCTGTTTCCTACTCAGGGCAGCAGCAGGGCTGTCTCTGTGCCTGTCTCACTGAGATAGCCTCTCAGGTCAGCACAGGGCAATAGAGTTCAGCAAAGTTAGCTGAGCTCATCTGCAAAGAGGTGGGTAAAGGGTCTTTCCAGGGAGCTCAGTCACCTAAGACCATTGCTCTCCCTTAGGTTTGTGCCAACCTGGTGAATATTCTGCAGATGGCTTTGCACCTTGCCAGCCCTGCGCCCTGGGCACATTCCAGCCTGACGCTGGCCGTACTTCCTGCTTCCCCTGTGGAGGAGGCCTCCCCACCAAACAGCTGGGAGCCATATCCTTCCAGGACTGTGAGACTAGAGGTGAGCACTTGGCTGCCTGCCTTCTTGTAGAACTGAATTTCCTTCTGGATGACATGGGAGTGTGGTGAAAGCCCATCAACCACATACCCATAAGGATGTCTGTGTGGTGCCTCAGGGGCAAAGGGTTCAGCTCCCTAACAGAGATTGCTCAGACTCTGTGGGAAACTTCTCCCCAGCTACCTTAGACAGGGCTGAGGGGATAATCTGGGAGAGATGTGCAGCTTTTGCACACCGGTTCCCTGGGCTTTCCATCCATCTCAGTGCTCTAGCTTAGAGCGCTGAGCTCCAAATTCATTTCCTACCCCCTTTCTAGAACTTTTCTACCACTGCTTCTTCCAGGAAGCCCAAGTCTAAACCTAACCTCCCTGTGTCCCCCTCTCCAGTCAGATTACACTTGCTCATGCTGCCTGAAGACTTCGGTGACCGCTGCTGCTTGAGCATGTGCTCTCAGAAGGCACGTGGTTCTGCCTCTCTCAAACACACACACACATGCTCATATAAACTAATTATTGCATCCATCAGTTGTAAAAGAGGGTTTCATTTTGTCATGTCTATATATGTATACAATAGACTCTCTCTCCATCACTCGCCCCTTTCCCCCTCCCTTCTTTCCAAACCAATCTCAGCTCATCATTCCATTTTACACATGAAGTATTTTGAACATATTCACCTTTCCCCTATTTTTCCTCCCCACTACCAATATCTCCATCTCAGATAGAAGCTGTTTTATATTCCTGTCCTTCACACACACACACACACACACACACACACACACACACATGCATGCACGCACGCACGCGCGCACACACACACATTAGTGTAGGCTATTTGTTCAAAGGGATTTCACTGTGGTATTTTACAGATACATATACAGTAATAATCAGACTGACCTCTCATTTACTCTCACTCCCCCCCACAACATTATTCAATAGCTTTAGTGGGTTTCATTTTGCCACCTTCATTCCTTGGTGCAATGTATCTTGGTATTGTTTTCCCTCTCACATTTCCCCATCCACATGCCTCCCTGTTCCTTTGGATTTTGGTCTCAGATCCCTCCTACACAGGCTATTTAGGGAAGGAAGGGTTGATCAGCCCCATTTTGATAGGAAAGCACTACTTCACTTGAACATACTAATTTATTTCACAAATGTTGAAAGCTTTTGTGTTGCATTTGTTTTAGTTTTGGGGTGTTTTTTTTTTTTGCTTTTTTAAAAAGAAAGTCTTCTTGTTTTCATTCTTGTCCCCTTCCCTGGGCCTACAGTTCAGTGTTCACCTGGACATTTCTACAACACCACCACTCACCGATGTATTCGTTGCCCAGCCGGGACATACCAGCCTGACTTTGGAAAAAACAACTGTGTTTCTTGCCCAGGAAACACTACAACTGACTTTGATGGCTCCACAAACATAACACAGTGTAAAAGTAGGTCTCTCCTGAAGGCTTTTCATAAACTGAGTTAGAGAGCAAGTATTTGGGCCCAATGTGGGCAGGGTGGGAGCGGGGGTGTGGGAGGGAGCAGTAGGGAGGAGCAGGGTGAGAACCACTCAATTTATTTTGTACAGGTTTACCTAATAGTATAACCTATAAGCTCTTTGAGGGCAAAGACTCTGTCTTTCTTGATTATGAGCTTCTATAGCTTTGTGTGACACGTACTAGATGAGGGAGAATTTGGCAAACAAAGGTAAGCCTGAGGCTTATGTGTTTGCATATGTGCTCTTTGCCTTTGATGCCAGAGGTAAAGACCCTATATGCCCGTGATTGACTGACAACTCTTCTCTACTTCCAAATAAAATGTGCTGCTGGCTGCATAGCTTAGTGGTAGAGCACCTACCTAGCAAGCATGAGGCCATGAGTTCAAATCCCAATACTGCTAATGACAATAATACTAATAATAAAAATAATATTAAAGTACAGCTAACCAGAAAAAAGTGAAAATAAAGTTTGTCTTATTTTCATCAAAGGTCTGTCAAATACTCTCTACTGAGCAATGAGCTCTGTTCCCCAGACACATGGACAACAATGCAAAAGCTAAATTTGTTGAGTGTAGTGCCTTCAGTCTAATGAGAAAAGGGCGGGCTACTTGGGGAGTTCATTTAGATTGACTCCCAAAGGGGCCCTGACATAGGACACACTTATTCCTGACATGGTGTCATTTGAGAGTGAGAGGGAGGCTGCAGGGCTCTGCCAAGCTAGCAGTAGCCATGACAGAAAGATGACAGATGGATGTCCTGCTCATAACTCATGCTCTTTCCTTTCTAGACAGAAGATGTGGCGGTGAGCTGGGGGACTTCACAGGATACATTGAATCCCCAAACTATCCAGGCAACTACCCAGCTAACACTGAGTGTACCTGGACCATCAACCCACCCCCAAAGCGCCGCATCTTGATTGTAGTCCCTGAGATCTTCTTGCCCATAGAGGATGACTGTGGAGACTACCTGGTGATGCGGAAAACCTGTGCGTCTCACTCTGCTCCTGTCCCCTTCCTGGGCCAGCTGGGAAGCTGGCCAACCTGCTCCCCAGGCTTTCCACATGAGGATCAGGCCTAGACTGACACCTCTGTATTAGAACAGAGATGAATTATGAGTTTATTGAGTTGCCAAGGAACAAAACTGAGACTAAAGCCATATGTTGAGGCTTCTAGCGAAACCTTAAAGTCAGGGCTCCAGCAGGACAGCCTTCCGCTCTGTACCCACTGGGGTGAGACAGTGCTGGCTCCAGACCTGGATAGTAGCATCATGACTTAGAGGCCAAAGCCATGGTTCAAGGCAGGAGGGGCCCCTCCTGTCGTGCTTTATGGTCCAGTGTCCACAAAGGGACACTACCACCAATGCAGCTTAATGGCAGGGCCAGGAGTGGGCTCAATCCTACCTTCCTGACTCCTGATTCTGTGATCTTGGGTGTACATTTTAAGCCTTCTGGACTACAATCTTCTTAGCCTTTAAAATGAGAAAATAATAGTTACTACTGTGTAGTTACTAGGAGGACTGAGTTCTGATTTGTAAATAACCAGGGCACCACATGAGGCCACTGTGTGTGTGAGATATATATTCTCCCTCTATGTACACACACACACACACCACATATGGTCTGCCTTCCTTATCAGTTATTAAAGTGCTTGAAGTCATGTGAAGTTTGAATCCTGTCCTTCCCATAGACTGTTCTTACAAGTTCTTACCTATGTAAAAGAGGCAATGACTAGTCAGCTTTCTATGGTTTGCAGAAGACTTAGATTAAGCCCATAGAATGCCAAGCACACTTCAGACTTAGGGAGCTGTGGTCAATGGAGGTGATTGTTAGGTGACAGCATCTTGGCTGTGGATTTCAGCCCCCACCATGAGCGGGACATCCGGGGCTGCTGCTGTTGCTGACCACATATAGCTCTGCCTTAGCCCTCCCTGGTTGGGGTGTGGGCGGCACCATTCCCAGCCAGACCTTGTCTATTTCTGGGACTTTTCACTGTTCAGATGGATCAACTGGGTCTGAAAAGCTCTTGAGCATAACTTATTCTGTGGTTTGAGCATTTTGCTGATGTATATTGAACCTCAACCCCTTCCAACTTCCCTTGGCAGCCTCATCCAATTCTGTGACAACCTATGAAACCTGCCAGACCTACGAACGGCCCATTGCCTTTACCTCCAGGTCAAAGAAGCTGTGGATTCAGTTTAAGTCCAATGAAGGAAATAGCGCCCGAGGGTTCCAGGTGCCCTATGTGACATATGACGGTAAGACGTGTGAGCCTCAGGCAGTATCCTACAGCAGGGGAAGTTCTGTTTTGGACAGAACCAGCTTCAGAACCAGCTGGTGGTTGCTGACAAGTACTCATGCTCAGCAAGGCAAGCAGGGGGTGGGGAAAAGACATCACTGACTTCATAATGCCATATTTTAGAGGGGCATTTGGGGACACTGACTATAGGGTTGAAAACATGGTTTAGAAAATGTATAAAAGCAAGCATAGCCTAATGGGTAAGAACATGGGCACAGCTATTATCTTTTCTGTGACTTGTATATATCGCTTACCATTTCTTCATTTTCTTTCCTTCTCTTCCTCCTCCTCCTCTTCCACCTTCTTCTTTTTGATAGTATTGGAGTTTGCACTCAGCACCTTGTGCTTGCTAAGCAGGTGCTCTACCGTTTGAGCTACACTCCCAGCCCTTTTTGGCTTTAGTTATTTTATCAGGTAGAGGCTCACATTTTCATCTAGGTTAGATCAGATCACAGTCCTCCTGCTATGTCTTCTGCATGTACCACCATACCCAACTTACTGGTTGAAATGGGGGTTCACTAGCTTGTTGCCCAGAGCAGGCCTCAAAGCAGGCTGGTTGCAAGCCAGCCCAGGCAGACATATTTATGAGACTATTATCTCCAATTAGCCAGCAAAAAGCCAGAAGTGGGAGCATGGCTAAAGTGGTAGGGCTAAAAGCCAAGCAAGAAAGCAAGAGCATGAGGCACTGAGTTTAAGGCCCAGTACCAGTGTGCATGTGCACACACACACACACACACAACAAAACAGTTGCCCGGAAAGTGGTAAACTATTGTCCAGTTTTCTGATACGCCAGAATACATAGCAACTTAAGTTTTTACTGCTAATCTCCCATCATGCAAAGGAGCCCAGGCTCTAAGGAAGACACACAGTAGCATAGGAATTCAAGATTAAGAATAAAATAAACTTAGGGGCTGGGAAGGTGGCTTAGAGGTAGACCGCTTGCCTTGCATGCTTGAGGCCCTGGGTTGGATTCCTCAGCACCACATAAGCAAAAAGTAAAAAGGCAGAAGTGGTGCTGTGGCTCAAGTGGTAGAGCACTAGCCTTGAGCTGAAGAGCTGAGGGACAGAGCCCACGCCCAGAGTTCAGGCCCCATGACCAGACCCCCCCCAAAAAAAGAATAAAATAAACTTAGACTCTTTTTATTTATTTACTTTTATTTTTTTGTCAGTCATGGGGCCTGAACTCTGGGCCTGGGCGCTGTCCCTCAGCTCTTCAGCTCAAGGCTAGCGCTCTACCACTTGAGCCACAG